GGTCCACTCAAAGTGGCCAAGTTTGGACAACACTGGTATACATAGTATCCTATGTGGTGTTTTTACTTCTATTGACCACCAGGAAGCAGTACGCAGGTGCCTGCTGAGTCCCAAACAGGACAAAGAGTTAACCCAGCAAACTGCCTGATATGCCAGACACCTTTGTAGTGGCTAGTTGGGTATCATTTGCAGCTTTTTTCTGTTTAAGGAAAAGCAACAACAACAACAAAAACACAGAGAAAGTTGGTGGCACACGGGCTGGATGGAAGAAAAGTTGTTTTTACCTCCAGCTTTTTCACTACTAAATATTATAGATTCCACCCCTACTCCCATAAACATATATGGGATAAATTCACCCCTATCTGAGTTAACCTAAAAGAAGCCACAGTTTTTTATTTGAACAATGTGCTAAACCTATCCACAGAACAACATGCCTAGTGAAACTTCTTTTAGGTGGCTACTTTCTACTTTGGTGCAGGTACTTCTAGCTACAGAATAGCGTCCTTGGAACCAGGGAAGTTGAAAATGTTAATTCTGTGGAGAACTGCAGGAAAAGGTAGGGACAAGCAAAAGTCAAAGATAATTAATCACACAGTGTCCTGCCTTGCATTCTATGAATATTAATTCATTCTATAAATTCATGTAATAACTCATAATATTCATTCTATGAATATTTATTCATAGGACATAAGCAAATTGACCATAACTCTCACTTACTACATATTCCTTATTTTATCTCTCAAATAATAATGCTGTGACTTCAAAGAGGAATTTTAAAAAAATCCTCAGTTTTTAAAAACTTTATTTTTGAATTATAATTTTTGGATAACCAAGCAGTTTTATATAGAGAAAGCACAGAAGTCTATCTGGCACTTTTGGATAGTTTATAACTCTGCTCGACATTTCTAAAACACATTCAGTCCACTTGCTTGGTCCAAAATCCATGTTACTTGAAACTATATACATCATATATACAATCAGTGAAACTATTTTGGCTACTTTGGGTTTTTCAAAGATGTCCTATAGTCTATCCTTGCTAAACAGAATCCACAGTACACACCAAAACTAGCGAATACACTGTTTTGAAATAAGGAGTCATTCAGCAGAGACATCTGATGGCATGCAAAATTTAAAGAAAAGATACGACTTCAGAATTTTTTTTTTTTCTGTTAAAAAATCTGATTATTCAAGGCGCTAGCAAAAGAAGAGACTGTTCATTGTTCCTGTAAAAAAGGCACTTGGAATGGGGACTGGAGGAATCAAAGCTGACTTAAAAAATCAGTTTGGTTTCATAAAAGGCTCTTCAAATACCAAGAAAAGCTTGTCAAGTTTCATGTCAATAAAACTCGGTGGCTAGGCAGACTACAGTAAAGACAGACAACATTTTGGAACTACCTTGTAAATAAGTAAGAAAAAGCAAAAACAAGATTACTAAAAAGCAGCAGTGCATAGCCTTCCTTTGAAATAATGCATATCTGTAGACGTCAAGTGTTGAACTCTAGTTAAAGATACCCTTTCAGTAGCATCATTATGATACAATTGAATTAAGAAATAATAACAAAGTTTCACATAGATCCCCTTTCAGGAAAATCTGAGGTTATAATCTGCCATACCACATGCCAAAATGTCCAAATGTCCTTGATGGGCAATATCAAGTAAATGGAATTCAAAGTCACACTTTCATACAGGCTTCACAAAATAACTAGGTGAGTTTCCACAGAAATTATCTGAGCAAACCTTCTCAGTTGTAACCCACCGCAAGGGTTATTTCATCTTTTTTTCTTCCATCAATGTCAACAGAAAAAAAAATATTTGGCAATTATATATTCTCCTGGAAAAAAAAGATCTACCATAGGTTACTTCAGATTGAATGTCATGAGTGGTCTTTCCTCTCGCTTTTGCCAAGGACTCTTTTTATCTTCTCCTTGATCATCATCATCATCATCGTCGTCAACTTCACTGTGGACAGTCATTTTGTGTTCTGGACTTGTTAAAGGCTCTGGTGAACTTTCTACAGTTCTTTTTATTGTTTCCTCCTGCAGGCTGGGCAACTGGCCACCTGTTCTTCTGCTCCCTCCCTCTAAAACACATCTCAGAGTATTGTCTTCAGGACTACAAACTGCAGTTCCACATTCACTGCCACTGTGGTCCATTTCATCCAAATAAACAAGCTGTGTGTAAGTGCTGCTGTCTGGAACTTTCTGCTCTTTCTGTGGATGTATCTGCACTTGCTGGTGGGTTTGTTGTAAGTGATCTCCCCTTCCCTTTCGGGCAGATTTTGGCTCATTCATGTCAACCCCAGAATCCAGGCTGGCGTCATTGCTCCCGTTCCTTCCAGCTCTTTGAAGATCAATGTATGAATGTCTAACATGAGCATTTGAACGCCCATCCAAAGAAACAAACCATGCCCGAGGATGAGGTAAAGGCTTGCCTCCACCAAGCTCCATTAGAGCTTTCTCTGTAAGAAGCTGCACTTCACTATTCATTTGCGCCAGTGAGGCATCATTGAGGGATGCTGGAATGGATACCGATTCAGACATAGCAACATTCTGTGGTTTCCATTCACCTGCACCAGCTTCCTGCAAATGTTGCTGGGATACTGCTTGAGCAGCCAGCTGTTGTGGCTGCATCTGTTGCTGTGAATGTGGAAAAAGCTGTGAATGAGGGCTTGACAGTTCAGCTTGGAGCCTTTCTATATCTATTGGTTGATCAGTAGGGAGAGGCTGGCTAATATAAGGATGTTCTCCTGGAAGCTTCATATAATGACCAGGAATGACTAATGTAGGCAATACTTTTCTGTAAACACTATCATTTACCTGATCAACAGAATTACAACAGACCAGCTGACCTGGTCGAGGAAAAGAAGTGGGTCTTTCAAGATGGTCAACGGAGCGAGACATCATACATTCAGAGGACCTGCAGTCTAGAAGTTCCGTTTCAGGTGCTGAAGGGATGGGGTACATTTGTTCCTGAATATTATATTTACTCCCTGTAGAAATATGATTCATGGATGCTTGCTCTTGCTTCTCAAATAAAGGCCGGCTTAACATTGCATTGTAACTGTGTCTATGGTCTCCCTTGTCAGGAGAACCATATCCTTCTGTCATTTCCAGAGACTTCCTTGGGTTTATAGAAAAAGAATCCAATGATTTAAGGTAGTCTTTTTTCAGACTGTCATTAGATGCCATATTCTCTAGAGACATGCGGCTCTGGTCATTTTCCTTATGGGAAAGCAGTTCCTCTCGGGAGCTAAATTCCTGTGAGGTGCTGTAAGTATGTTTCAGCATGGGGGTATGCATATCTGCTTCTCCTCCAGAACATCCTTTGTCCAAGTGAACAGCCACCATCAGCTCCTTGTGGCCAGCAGATTCTGGGTGCCTGTTGCTAGTAATGGAGAGCCCACCGGGAAATTCTGATTCACGTCGGGAAAATACTAAATTGAGGTGGGACATAGAAGTTGACTGATCCTTCTTAGCACCACTGAGTGTTGAGGATAACTGTAGTTTCTTATGATGTTGACGGGGTTTCAAACACTTTCTCCTAATGTTAAAAAAATAATTAGAAAAAGAATTAATTTAAATGGGACCTGCAGCAAAAGAATGGTCTAGTGAACACTTATGTGTTCAACCACCTATGCCCTCTTCCAATTATCATAAACCTGGCTTCCCAATATGGATGGGCAGAAGTTATTGGAATTGTAGTCCACTATATGTATTGTATTGTAAAGGACTCAAGCAGATTAATTAAGGCTTCCTGATTTTTCTTTGCAACTAAAATTGAACGTCCTCAGCAGAGATTTTTTTTTTTTTGCCCCCTTTGTGCTTGTGTTTGCTTTTTCAAAATTGTTCTTTCAAGCATACAAATCTCTCTCTCTTATTTTTCAGGGGCTGTTAACTTCATACACCTCTGTGTATTATATTTAATAGTTCAACTGTAGAGATAAATACTGAAATTCATTATGTTAAGAACAAAAAGAGATATAGTAAAAGAAGACAATATAGTAGAAGCAGATGTAGCAGAAGAAAGTCAGCCTTATAATTCTTTCTATTAAAATTAATTTTAACAGATAATAGTATATATAGTAGGACTACTTTAACAACAAACTAGTTTTGCTGAAGGAAATATTTAGGAGGGAAAGAAAAAAATAATGTTGTTATTTCCGGTTTAGTTCTGTTTTAGCAAATGCCACATAGATTACTTGCACTGTGCTAGTATGAGAGAACTGTTACTGTTCTTCATTTTAAGTAACAAAATGCTATAGTTTCATAAACTATTATTGGTAGCTTCCATTTTGAAATTAGATTGCTCCATAATATGGCTTGTTGCACAAGCAAGTACAAAAATTAACATGAGCTGCATCATTCATTTTTTTTTTCTGCTTTCAGGAGGATCTTAACATAAAGATCTATTTTATTTTAAATGCTAATATTTGTAATATTATTTCATTTCTCAAAGGGTCTTTATGATAAGACCATCAGTTCCTAAAGTACTGCACACGATAAGATAAAGTTAGACCCACATAATGAACTTTCCTCAGTCTGGTGCCATGGAGATGTGTTAGACTAGTAATCCAACATATTTGAATGGTACAAGTTTGTGGGCAGCTGACATACAATCTTCAGGTAGCTTGTTTAGACTAGTAGGTAAAATCCAAAGGTTGTGGTTGGCATATGGAAATTATAAATCCACAGAAAGCTTACTAAAATGTTGCACTCATACAAAAACGAATGCGTTCCTCAAAAGCACTAACTGATATAAAATAATTTGGTCCCTTTTCCTTCCATTCATATCTTTTAAGCTGACCCACTGTACAAATAAAATCAAATATAAAAATGAGACGTTTTACCTGCAATAATATAAAAGGAGGCACAGCAAAACAAGTAGAATAAGAGCCATTCCTCCAAGAATTGCCAAAAGAAACACCGTGTGATAAGTAGTGATGTCCTTTGATACAATGAGACCTATGAGATGGAAAAAAATTAAAACTCCAAGGACGGGCAATCCAAAGCTTTCTAACCCCTTTTAGTGTATTTTTAGCCATAAGCTAGCTCTCATTTTGACAACAACTCCTTGCAGCAGAATATCATCTGATGAGCCCTGATCCACCTCTAGCAGGATTCTCTGACAGTATCAGCAACCCTGATTACACCGGTTTCAAGAGCTGTGAGATGCCACTGTTTTGAATTACCCACAGTGCCCCAGAACAGGCCTGTGCCAAGGGCACGGTGAGTAAATGAAGGGGTAGGCAGTTCAGTTCACAGCCCTTTGACACATGTCATTTGGGTAGTGGAACCAACCAAAAGAATGAGCTAGGGCCATTGTCTGGAGTGCATCCTGGAGCAGCAGCAATAGCAGCGTCTGTTTGGAGATGACATGTGCCCACATCATGAATGATCCAATAGGCCAACAGTCAGCCAGTGGGCTTGGTAACCTGCTTGTTTGAGCTGCTTGTCTGCAACCTCACTTAGCACGGCAGGTGAACTCCCTTCAACTCTAATCATTAGAATCTGCACAAAGTTGATTTAGGAATTTTACAGGATTTTGCTGTCTGGTCTATACATGCAGCCGAATTAGGTGATCATGTGGGAAGCATTCTGCCAGCCTGTGCCTAGGGTGGGAAGATAGCACTGTTGAATGTTCTCTGTATGCATGCAAGTATGTTTCTATCTAATTAGCACATCAAGGAAATGATATGTTCCTTTGTTTTAATCATGTTCTAACTGTAGGATTTATTTATTTTTTACTTGAGTAGAGTCATCGGAAACGTAATCTGGATCCATCATTTGCAGTCTGGCCTAGGATATAATCAATTTCCCACTTTAGAACTCTTACTTCATTCTTACCTCATTCTGTCCATGTGTAAATCAGGACTAAAACTGACCATATATCAGAGTTGGTAACCATTTGTGCTGTACTTATGTGACAATTCATGCAGCTAAGGGGAAAATCATTCTATCTATGGCAGGAAAGGTCTAAATCCTCCACATGCTATGATTTTCTGAAATCAGCCACATGCCACATACTGTAACAATGATGTAATTTGAGGATTATCCTACAACCGTTTGGAAGTTCTTCTGGCAGCTCTACAGACATCCAAAATGCAACCATTAGTGACCTAATTTTCAGTGTATAAAATCCCCTTAAGGCTAAAACTTTTAATTTTTAAAAAATGTGTGCTGAAGTACTTAGGAAACCTTAACAAACTTTAGACTCTGCTTTCAGAATTCTCAGATACGTCAATAAAATGTTATTGTGAAATGCACACGTTATTTAATTACTACATAATGTAACACTTACTGTGAACTAATAGCAAGTTCTGAAATGGATCTTTCCCTTTCCTTTCTCACCATTCTTCAGTGTCCTGAAAAGCTCTGGCAAAAAGTACTTTCTGAACATAGTGGGCTATCTCTTGCAGAGTTGCAAAAGAAGAAAGAAACTGCCAAAAATAGTACTCTTACAGACATGGTGTAGGACTCCTTTTTTCCAATTTTAGGCAATTCCCTTATCATATTGGGTGAGACTGTCAGCCTTGCAGGGTAAACCAGATAGGAATCACAACCAGATGAACTAATTCTACTTTATTGTAAAAATACACCGACAAAATCTTGCAAGTATGAAAGTATAATTCTCCCCTGTCTCCTTTACAGCTCAAAAACCTAGGGAGGGTCTCTTCTGAGCCTCTTGCCCTGCCCACTATCCAGCTGCGGGCTATGCTGTCTCTTATCTAACCATTCTCTTGGCAGCGTCTCTTTGCCCAATCTCCCAAGTTCATTCCCACATACCATTATAAAGACACTGCCCCTACTATTTAAAAGCCCCCCTGCACTCTCTAGATAAGCTTATTTTGAAGAGCTAGAGGATAAAATGGGGAACAGATAAAATCCATAGTGCAAACTTCTTTGTATTTGCCCAATGCTATATACTTATATTGCAGCAAACAAAAGAACACTCTCACCTGGATTTGTGGGTGACATGGCTGCTACCCAATATCCCAGCTGGGAGGCAATATAGGTCCAGGTCATTTCATTTCCTTCTTGCTCAACAGTGCCTAAATTGCTTTTCAACCATGTCCCTGTAAAACATGTAAAGAAATTCATAAAATGGGATACAAAATAGGATAAAATAGAAACAAACCATTAGGCTATAGACCATTAGGCTATAAATCAATCATGATTTTCAGATGCACAAACTGATAACAGCAAAACAGTAATAATAGCAATAACCATCTTCTATAAATTAAATGCTAGTAGTTTTGTTTACTGACCACCAGTGGGTGCCAGAGTTAAGAATTTGAAAGGGGGGGGGAGAGAAAAAGGCACCATGGATCCTCAAAATTTAAGTTTGTTCCAATCTGTGGACCAGAATTCATGTGAAGATTCTGAGACATCATGTACACTGAGAACAAAAAAGGCTGAGACATTTAAAACTAAATTTTTACTCGGTGTTACAGTTGCAGATCTAGTAAATTAACACTACCAAAAAATATTTGAGTTACTTGGAAATACAAAGCCAACATCTCTCCACACTAAAAGATGATAATAGTTCCAGGATAGACAATATCCATGCCTCTTTGAAAGCATTTCCCCCTCTTTTTGGGGGGACATGTATGTGTGTGTGTGTGTGGGGGGAATGTTTCAATACATTTTTTTCTCCCAACTTGAGGTAGCCAAAAAAATACATGCTTGATTTCCTCTAACTGTCCCAGTAGAATCAGTCAAGGAACAACTGAGATCACTTGATTCTGCTAACAAAAGAAAATACTGTATTGGTAGAGGAAGATGATTACATTATTATCATATGAGATTAAGATGTCTTCTGGTTTGTTTACTCACCAACTTGCTGTTGACCTTATCCTAATGGCTGCCTGCAGGAGTGCCCTTTGAAAGGTGCTCCGTTCAAAGCATCACTGAAATGGAGCATCCTTCACAATGTTGCACATCCCTGGTTTTAATTGGCTGGCAACTGTAATTGTCTTAAATATATGTATATAATTTGCTGGATCTAACATTTAATGGCTAACAGAACAAATCCAAATGGTACCATTTGTAGCAAATGTAATATAATGATATAGGTTTGATCTAAAATTAGTTATATTCAAAGCAGATCCAACAAAATCAATGGGATATCCTTAGTCATGACTAACGTAAGTCCCAATGATTTTAATATCTAGTGTGAACTTACATTTTTTTACTACAGGAATACCTTTTGAATTCAGCACTTTGAACATCAAAAACTTTCAGGCTGTGCCTACTCCCACCAGAGTTTTATTCTATAATAGATGTTTCATTTCTTGAGTCATCAACACTACAAAGCAGTTTATCTTACACAGCTACTCTGTTGGATGTACAGTATCAAGTAGGTAGCATAAGCTATTCGTCCCCTCTCCTGACCTCCATTAATCAGTCACCCCAATGAAATCTGTATAGTTCCTTGAGATAGTTTCCTCCTGCCAAAACCCAGGATGACATATATTGTTATTGCTATGCTTCTTTTAAAACATGCCAGAAAATGGATCCAAATATACAAAGAGAATGAATGGGAGGGAGAGAACAATTTATTAATTTACTTTAAGCATCACAACAATGCTATAATTCTCCATTGGATAGTTTTGTTTGAACCAATATGTTGCCAGGTTGCTTAGCATCATAATGTTGGTTGAGAACCAATTAGCCAATCTTTCTGTGAGAGGGGAAGATAGACAAGACAGACAATGGAACTTCAGTTTTCCATATAATTTTCCGCAGAACAGCTGGTTTTTACAGGCCAGAATCAATGATCATTTGGCTTCTAAAGTACCCAGATGAGATCATACTTTTAGATTTTGCTCCAAACATACGCTATCAATATTAGAATACTTTGCTTACAAAGTGATGCAATGGTTTGCCAGATTGGTTTGGGGATTGAATCAGGAGGCAGCAACCTATAAAGGAAACTCCCCGGTCTCCCTAAGGAGGAAATGCCATTCTTACTTCAGAAAGGGGTGTACTGGTGACCCAGGTCCGCCTTGGACAACTGAGAGGGAAAAGAGGAGCAAAATGCTGCAGCAGATACATGTGTGCTAAAAATATGATATCTCAGATCTTGCTCCATCCCTTACTACATAAATCAGGAGAGAACTAGCTTACTTGCAGTGCCCTCCCTAGAGAGGCCATATAAACAGCTAACACGCTTAGGGAGGATAGGCAGATACCAAAAATATCTTGAGCATGAGACTACCAAAGGAATTCTAAGGGAAATTCTGTTGCTCCTGCTACATTTTTTTTAGGAATTAAGAAGGAGACTTACTATTTTCCTAATGGGACAAAGACCTCCCAAGGAGATGCTCATATCTGCTATAGAAAGTTTCAGCAAAACTAAAGAAATTAAAAAGCAACTTGGGGAAAATGTAGGGAGAACAACATAGGAAAAGATAAAGCCTTTCTATGAGCACAGATTGTTCCGCTAAAAAAATAACAGCTTTATTTTGACCTTGCTTAAGAGCCTTAACACACAAGTAGTACAAACAACACATAAATGCATATGGCACAATCTAGCCAAAATTTAGCATCACCTTTATTTTAGCGAAAATAAATTAAAAGCCTCTAATTTTAAAACTTTGATATGCTTTTAAATAAGCTCAATATTGAATGGTGTGACATGGTATTGAATATGCAAGGTCTTTTTTGCTAGATGGTAAGAATTTATTCCTGCCTCTGCTCACCAACAACAATTTTAATTAGCATCAGCCCTGAAACTTCATTCTTCCACCACATTTCATGTATCTTTACTTTTTACTGTTTAGTTGTAGTTATTTCCTTTAGCAATGGTGAGTTATACAACCTTTAGTTACAAGTCAAAAGCAGGTAAGCATGTCTCCTTTTATTACTGAAGTCTGCAAAGAGGCATGAACTCATCTAAAATCCCTTATGCTTCAGAGATTCAAATCCCATTCTATTGTGCAGCCTTTCCCAACCTAACATCTTCCACATGTGTTGGGTCTGCGCCTCCCAGAATTCCCAGCTATCTGAAGCAGGCCAGGGTCATGACAGTTGCAGCCCCTACACATCTGGGGGACATCAGCTGCTCTTGTGATTTAGGAGACAGGCCTTACCACCATCAGCAGAGCAAGGCGCTGACCTGCAGAGGCATACACTGAGAACTGCAGAGCAGTGCTAGAGAACGGAACTGTGTCTGCACACAGCCTGCACTGCATTTTATAAATCAGATGAAGAGAAGGACGTTGCCTCATTATTAGTGCCAGTTCAGTTAAGCTTCTGTGTGGTTGTGTGCATATATACTGGGGAAGTGTCTTGTCCTTTACCACAAGAAGCAAATTCTCCTTGTCTGGTTCTGGTGTAGGACAGAATCTTCTTGCAAGGGGTGACTTAGCCCCTTCCACACACAAGGACTGCACTAATCTGGAACAGGTGTTATGGCCTCTATCCCCACGATGCTGTAGGGCTTCCACAGGACTTTGCAAACTTTCACCTCTCTTGCTGTTTCAAAGGAAATGCAGCATCTCCTCTGAAGGTGAGGGACCACCTGGTACCTCCCAGCTCCCTGGATCTGCTCCTAACCAAAGCCAAGGCCCCATAGCACCTGACCACAATCCCCTGATCTTTTGAAGTAACTGGAGAAAGATGGTGATTTGCATTTTTCTCCTTCATGGCAAAATAAACAAAGTGAAGAAATGAAGAAGATGGGGAAAGGCTGCTGGCTCTAAGTCTCAAGAGTTTTATACTTCCCTTTTGCCTTTCTATCCTTGTCCTAACACATCTTCCCCAGCCCCTGGGAGCAGCAGCTGGAACACTCATAGGGTACCATGAGTACAATTCTGAGGAACTGTAGAGTAAAAACCATGGCTGAATGAAAATGCCCATAGTAAGCCAAACGTACCACGTGCTTGTACCTGGAGACTTTTCATTCAAAGGAGAAGGTATACATAATATGAGGACTCTACCCTCCCACCCCTAGACACGCTTGCACTGGCAACCCTTAGATACACTGTAATTTAGGTACTAGTCACTTTGGTGATAGACAGTAAAGCTGTGCCCCTCCTTAAAGTGACGAACAGCTAATTAACTTGAAGTTAACCTTGGCTGCTTGGAGGGTCTTCTCAGACCTAGGCACACCTGTGCTTATTTAGACAACACTTCTGCTGGGGCGGGTGGGGAGACAAAATGCCTGTGCCTACACACACATCTGGGGATGGGCTGGAAAGGCCCTTAAAGGAAATGCACCAAGTCTTCCAGAGGATACAATCACCCCAATGTTTTGATATGAACTTCCAGTTTCCCTTATGCAGAATTAATACTAGGATCAACTTTCTCTGGATACTGAAATGATTAATTTATCCAAAATAAATAAATTACTTTTTCATTCATTCTAGTGGATGAAAATAATGTCCTGAATCAGCACAAAGGAACTGTCTTCAACCCTGTGACTGACTAGATGGTTCTTGAACTACAAGTCTCAGCATTCCTAGGCAACATGGCCAATGGTAAGGAATTGCAGCTCAGCAATATCTGGAAGACAAAAAGTTGCCTATACCTGCTACAGAAGTTTGCTTAGTTCTCAACATTTCATTTTTATGTCCCATCAATCACTCTTTCAAAGTATCTGAGACCCATCAAAAAACTCATTTTTCCCAGCATGTTATGCTGACTCAGTATGATGGGAACTGTAGTCCAACATATCTAAACAGCAGCAGATTGGGAAGGCTGATGTAGGGGCTATGGAGGTTGTTTTAAAGTTACCAGGCAACAGTCTAAATAAACATGGTTTGATAGGGGTCACATCCTCCTCACTTTCCTCAATTGTTTCTGGGTTTTTTGCATGGCTTCCAGCCAGCTGCAGTTTTTCCTTCAGCTGGCTACTGTTTTATAATAGAGACATCATGATTTGGCAAACCTATATAAGCTATTCTGGAAATCTGGGAGCACTGGTAAGTAAAAAATGAACCCTTGCATGCAATCTCTAGGGGAAAAAAATGTTCCCAAAGGATAGTCCTTTGATTTATTACTAAAATCCAAGCTGAACTTTGCTCTTTTGTTTCTGCTGTCATTTCTGTCTCCTTTCCTGTTGTATGTGTAAATTACCTGTCTAATACTGAACAAAAGAACATGTCTGTTCTCTGCACTTAGCAATTCTAATTACATCTGAAGTAGAGAGAGAGAGAGAGAGAGAGCACATTATACACACAGGTAGCTTCCTTTGTTTAATTCCCCCCTCCCAAACTTCTTTTATAATAACGGAAAGGTAGGTAGAACTCAAGAGACATAATACATTACACTGAAGAATGCTGCTTCATGGATGGCATAAAACATGCAGGTTGCTTTTGTAGTGAAAAACATTTATGCAGACTTTTTAAGCTGTAGCACTTTATGATTAATATTCAAGCATCATGTTACAGGTAAATTTATAAAAGAAACAGCTACTAATACAGCATGGCTAAAAATGCAGAGCATATCCTGAACAAGGAATGGGAAACCACACCTCAGAGGTATAGCTAATCATGCTAAAATCATGCTCAATCTTCAGTTAGAAAAAAGGCTCAGAGGCAAACAAGTGTGTGAAAGGTTTTTGCCTGAAAGCCGAGAACAGCTACTGCAAAATAAGACAATATTGCTTCACTAGATGGGGAAATAATCTGATAGTATATGGCACCTTCTTTTGTTTGTATCAAAGGCGGACAACGTGGCCCTCCAGATATTCTTGTACGACTCTCATCGTTTCTCTAAATTGGGCATGCCGGCTATGGCTGGTTAAGCTGACAGGCTATAACATTTCAGAGCCAAACTATCCCATGGATTGTGCAAACTTGAACTAATCTCATATGAGAACATCCTCCTAGTTAATGAAATAATCTTTGTCTTTTCAATATGTTTTACTGAATTATACACATCAAAATTGAGGCAAAAGGGGTTTTTTAGGTTTAAATTAAGTAAGGTTGATAAAAAGTTTTTTTAAAATCTAATTAAATCAGATAAAAAACAATGGGACTACTAAACTCCACTGGTGTTAAGGCAATGAAAAAATGTCTACCTTCTCCAGTAGTTCTTCCCAGCTGGATTCTAGTCAGACCATGGTTTGTACTAACCATAATGCAGTAGCCAAACCAGGGTTGCACCCTTGTACTATATCACAGAAGAAATCTTAGTGCTTGTCTCTTCTGTCCCCCACGGCTCAGCTTATTAAGTCTACTTAATAGTAATAATAATGCTGAGTTGTACTGTAGATTGTTCATATTGGCTCAGTACAAGACTGGAACATACTCAATATGGCTTAGCATTATGTGCAGACCAGGACACTATGGTTTAAAATTATTTGTGAACTAGCTGTAAATATTTTATACAACTTATTTTTACAGCTGTACTCTAGTAAAGCTATCTGATATATCTCCATTCCTTGCTTTTAATTGCTTTTCAGTAGAATTTAAACACAATATAGTAAAGCAGATCTTTCCTTCTCTATGCTACAATGTTACGCAATTACATTTGCATCGATTATACTACATAGCTGCTCCTGATGATTTGGAAAAACTATTTTTGAGGGCTCCCATTTCTATAGCAACAAGGGAACAGCAAATTCTTTGGAAGTAGTTAAGTCCTATATTCTTAGTACAGGACAGGATTTATTTCCTTTCAGAGAAAAGTATTTAACAATGCTCTTAAGGCAGAAAAGGATGTCTAAAACAAGGTATCAGCAATCTTAAAATTAAACATACCCTCCGTTCCAACACTATGATCTATGAACTTTGTCGGGGCTCAACTTCCTCTCTGTAGCTTGAAAAACAATGATGAGAGGGGAAAAAACAATTTAGTGGTATTGTATTAACTATAATGCTTTGCTTGGCATAAAATTAAACTCTTTTGGCTATAGTGATGGGTTAACCTTAGATATCAGGAATGAAAAACAATGTTTTGATGCATTTTGCATCCAGCAGATTTTTATTGTACTCTTTTGCTATTCCTCTGGTGTTCATCTGCACCCCTTCATATTCAGTTATGCTAATCTCACAAGCTTATATGTGCAAAACTGAGCATATATAAATACATGAAGATTTCAAGCTGAAGACAGACAACAGCAAGTGTTTCTGAAGTGACACTGATCCACACCGTCCACGCATATCTCTTTTGCCCCACTACAGCTCTAAACAAACAGGTTTCCAAGCTTTCAAATCAATATCCCCAAGACTTCAGTGCTTAGTTACCAGAGTTAAAAACTGGGATAACCACAAGCACAACTATAGGTAATATCACAAGCAGCAAGGCTATTTTACCTTCTGTCTGAAACAATCAACTGTCACCATCTTAATATAAGGGAACTATGTCAAGTCAGAGGGAACTGTAATTTATTCAGGGCTCTTTATTAGGAATTAGGAATTATTTTAGGTTGCAATAAGACTTCTTCTTACTGAACCTGAAGGCAACATGCACAGAAGAAGCACCTACATACCATTATCTGTGCTGAGAAACCACAAATGGCCTGACTTCCCAGTGTGCTATACATTAGTTTGGTCAAGCTTTGTATCCACCAACTTGTTTAAAAAATCCATTGGTATCATTTTTTTTGAAAAGCACATCACAGATACAAAACTGATAAGCAACTGAGAAAGAGAAAGCAAGCAAGCAAAAAGAAGGGAAAAACTGAATACACACATAAGCTTAAAGGGAAATACAGAGATTTTTAACATCCATATTTAAATGTACATGAAGCAGAATCAAATTCTATTTTATCTGGTAAGGGCATGTCACTCAAAGGCCAGACAGTGCCAGGACAAAACTAAATTCGATTTCATGTCATGTGGCATTAAAATTTAATTAAATATAGATCACATAATTATTCCCAGTCAATGATTTAATTTAATTTCTGCTTCTGTTCCATTGGAAATATAATATGGTGACAACTTATCACATGTGCTCTCCAAGGTCTCAGCTGTGTACCTGTGATATAGATATCTGTATGTGTAAGAATATTTGTTTGTGTATCTACAGCTTGTTCTTCAATACATCAAGGAGGTCTCAAGCTCACATCCTCCCATATTCTAAACACATAAGCTTATAGCTTAACCCTGAACTTGAGAATGATTGTTGAGGAAAATGTAATGCTTTACTGCCTACTAAACCACCAACTGCTCACATTAGAATATCAAATATTATTTCACTGTTTTTTGAGTTTTTGACTCCAAACTTCTTGAGCCAGTGCAAGGCATAAAAGGCCATTATCCATACAAAATATAGAGATCTGAAAAACTAAAATAATCCCCATCAGCTCATTTCTAGCTCAAATACCACATCTGAATCTGAATGAACATGCTGTCTGCTTCAAACGAATTACAATGATTAATTTGCCAGTTAAAGAGGCAGTCTGTCCAAGATGCATGATAAGAAATTGGAGCAAGCTAAGTATGGCACATCAGAAGCTATTTCTCATGTAAACTGGAAATGGTAAAGCACATGAGAACAAAACACAAACATTTCCTTCTCTTGTTGAAGAAGAAGCCAAGCATTGCTACCTACAGTACTTGGGAAAATTGAAACTTATCCCCAGTTTTAAGAAAAGATATTCCCTTGTGATGCAAAGCAAAGATCTCTCACCGGGAAAAATGATGTGTGATTTGGACCTCTACTTTGAAATAAGGTGTGCCCTCTCCTCTTCAAGAGAACAGTTTTGCGCATAAACCAGGCAGTTCTCAAAGAGGAAGAACTCCTTCACCAAGCACTGTCTTATGACCGTCTCCAGAGTCATCTCCTGATTCGGATGTCTCCTAATTGAGTCAGAAGACAGTACCAGACAATGCTTTGTAGTTCCAGAGTTAGGTAAAATTCAAAAGCCCAACTAAGCCAAGGGTTAATCTTTTTCAAAAGGGTAGGAGACGCAGTGGCTAGAATGATAATGCAAAGTTCTTTTCCCTGTGTTTTGGGGGATGGGGGTTCTTGCTTTTGCTATCTATCTATCTATCTATCTATCTATCTATCTATCTATCTATCTATCTATCTATCTATCTATCCTATCTACCTACCTACCTGATTTAAACTCCACCTTTCCTTCAGGAGCTCCAGGCAGTTTAGCTAGTGCTCCTTCCTGCATTTCTCCCCACAGCAACAACCTAGGTTGGGCTGAGGGAAAATGACTGATCCAAAGTCACCCAGTCAGCTTCTGTGGCTGAGGATGCACTAGAACCTGGGTCCCAATGTCAGTCTAGCACCTTAACAACCACTCCTTTCTATTTTATGTTGGCATAAAATTACTCAGGGTGAAGAACAAAGAGCAAATCAGGAATGATCCATTGTTTCAGCAGCTTGCATACAGCCCAAAATAAACACTGACAAAGCTTTTTGAACAGGAAGAGGAAAGAGAGTTCAGGCAAAAAAAAAAGATCAACACACAAGAAGTTATTATGCTTGTAAACTTCCACTAAATTTTGGGAAAGCCCTCAAGCTACTTGCCTTTTCTATCCATCTATCAACATCACAAGCTAATTGATGGATGCTTGCA